CACTTGGAGCCTCGGCGACATCCTCCTGCACGAAAGAAATATTTGCACGATCCCTTCGAGCTCGAAGGCGAGGATGGCGACGATCCTGTAGCTCCTCCTGTGCCTTGCTGACCAGCACCCAGTTGTCTCACCTTAGCCAACAGTGTATTGCTTGTTGCTTTCGATGCCGCCATTGTTTCTATTTCAGCTTGAAGGTGTTGCTGGTATCTGCACACGTCTGCTTGGGTAGGCTGCGCGTCAATCCTCAAGCTTGAACGGAGTAGTTGTGTACGAAACTGAGCATCCGGGTTTTCTCCGATAAACTTCGAGGTAGTACCTGTAAGGACCTTCGATAATACTGAGCCATCTGGTACCATCATCTTCAAGTCCTTACAGCGTTGTACCCATCTCGGCCAAGACCTCAGCCACACCAAAGCCTCTTCTAGAGTTTCTGGGGTTGTAGTCGTCTGTAGATTTCCCAGGACTGTCGATCTCTCCGAAGCTCCGCCAGGCTGATACGTCGTATGCAGACGAAATAACACCAGAGGAGAGCTTTGCACCACTCTCCTAGATATCAAGTCCAGCCTCACCTGCTCGGTCAAGCTCTGAAGAATCAACGAACAAGCCCGAGCGTTTACCCGGGTCCATCTACCAGTGGTCAAGTTCTCATGGTCCTGTGGTTCCAGCTGTAAGCGCTCAAGCGGAGACGCCGCCAACCAAATAGAATAGGTTGACTGCACCAAATCCAACACTTGCTTCCACCAAGTACCCGACGAAGACGACAAATCTTGCATGGGAATTGTAACCTGAGTTAGCCAGTCTTGTAACATAATCCCCATCGCGCTTCCCTCTGGACTGGCTAATAACGGCAGTGCAATTGTAGTGTTTTTCACTTGCTCAGGTGCATCTTCTCCTTCCAGATCTTTCCTAATCGTCTTCTCGTGTAGAGCCTGTAGGTTTGTAAGGTTCTTCGTCAGGGCCTCGAGGATCGCATTAGTCGTAACCGCCTCCCTCGCAGGTTGTTGCTCTTCCGGACGCAACGACCCATGCACCCTCGACTCCGATCCCTGACCATTCCTGTTCGAAGTCAGCTCTTCCCACAAGGCGCCCAGCGGATCACGCCATGGATTTGGTCGGGCTATCTGAGGACTAACGCCTTCATATGGCACTTCCGCATGGCCTTCATGTTGTAGAGGAGGAACTTGTTGTGGTACAGCATCATCCCGAGCTCCTTGGCGCGGATCACCTTGTGGTACATCAGAAAATAGCTCTCGAGGTCCTTCTTCCGCGCGCAGCTCTTCTTTGGATTGCCTTGCTCGCTGCAAACCAATTTGCAAGCGCCGATTCTCTGCTTCGGCTTGCTGCAACCTGTCCAGCAACGATCCTAGCTGCCGCTGCACCTCTGCTTGTATTGCTTCTGCTGGTATGCTGCTACTGCTTGGGGTATAGTGATTACTAGGGTTTAAACCTCCTACCCTTCCGTCATCAGCTCCACCTTCTCGAAGCAGCCCCGATGCAGGTGGAGCCCCAGCCGAAATCGACTGTGGGATTGCGCCTCTTGGCGCCTGCCCCATCATGCTGCGGGGTCGTGGTGGTGACGGCATAGGACTCGGTAGCCACTGCACCGGGGGTGCCTTGAACATATCACCAATCCTATTCAGCCAGCTCGGCCACACTGCTCCAGACGTAGGTCTCATACCAGCTTGCACACTTTGTAACGTTCTGGTAGATCGCGGCGTGTGATAAAAACCACTCGCTTCTGCATCTGCGGTCTCAGACGGGGTCCTTGGGGGCTCAGTTGCAGCCTGTCCATCAGCCGGAATCACTCCGCTTGAGTTAGCTTGGCTAACTATGTCTGCGCCAGTCTGTATCCTCTGACCTTCAACAGCTTCCAAACCCACATCAGCACTCCCAGCTGGAACGCTCGAATTGTTTTCTGTAGCCAGTTGGGCGGGCACCGGGCCGGACACCTCGACATTGCCCCCAGCACCTTTTTCGCTCCCAGCCACAGATCCATAACCATTCACCTGCGGTTGCGCAGATACCTCTTGCACTCTGGGATCTTGTATTCCCGTCGCAGCATCCTCCCTCGCGCTCGTCGAAGGACCAGGATCGCCGCCTCGTAGCGGAGTTACAGCACCAGCTTGGGCGCTCATAACCTGAAGATAAGCAGCACCTCTCACAGGCAGACAAAGCTCAAGCCATGGGCGCACGCTTCCGAATTGTTTTCTCTTGCTATCACAACATGTTTGAGCTTCGGGCGGGGGTGTACAAAGGGCCAGAGCTCACAGTTGCTTGTGTCCTGCTGAACCTAAAGCTGGCTTCTGCCGAGAAGGGCATCTGCACTCTATACATGGCTCAAGGGCATCTCCGTAGCCTTCCTGAGCCGCCAATATCCATGCTCTCCAGCTCAGCAGCAAATTGCATGTCAGAGCCCTGAATTCCTATTTCATCAATTATAGTATACTATACCCCCCAAAGTTTTAGGGGTTCCTTATTATCATTATAGTGTAGTATACCCCCCCCCCAAAAAAAAACGTATTCTAATGATTAAGAACCCTATATTACCACATTAAAGGAAGCCTTTGACTTGCTGCGGTAACAGACACTGAGCAAGAACCCGGTATGGCGTGCTCGAGCCACTTCAGGGGCAGAAAGGCAGTTACTGATGCAGAACCATTATTTAAGGGTTTAGGGTTTAGGGTTTAGGGCCCCCTCTCACGATTCCATGCTTGGTAAGTCATGGTAGGGACTAGTCCTTCTTCTGAAAGGGTTCGGAGTGCCTAGTTACTGACAAACGGCATCTGCAAAGCCTAGTGTAGGGGCCTTAATGGTTAGAACAGGGATTTTCAGGCATGTTATACTATGATTATACTAAGGGATCCCCAAAATAGTATAGGTAAACCCTAAACCCTAAATTAATCCTAAACCCTAAACCCTTAACCCCGACCTGCGTTTTGGGCCTGAGGCCTCAGGTTTGGTTTCGGAGCTTGCCAAACCCAACAGTAGCATAAGGTCCAGGTGGCGATAATGTAGGGGCCTTAATTATCGGAGTAGGCTTATGGGCTCTTCAGAGTCTGGTTATAGTAAGGAATCCTTAATTATATTGGTATTGGTAATTACTTCGGCTCCTATATTACCATCCTAAACCCAAAATCCCTCAACCCTGGGGCATTGATTTACTAGACTCTGAACTTCAGAACAGCAGGTTGAACATGTGCAGGGACACAATCGAGTACTCGAGGTGACAGCTCGTCTGACTGCTCGCCTTCCGATCTGGGGTTGTGGAGATCACGAAACAAGAAATCACAAGCCATAAATCCCAAGGCCGAAGGCAAACCAGTCAAACAAAAACGCCTAGGTCAAACTGGGGAGATGTCCCCCTAAAACCCTATAAACCCCAAACCAAGAATTACAGGGCTCTGGGGCCCACAAAAAACCTAAACAAGTCTGACAACTAATGTAGGGGCCTTAATACAGTAATTAGAATAGGGTTTCGGGATTCCATACTAGAGTTGTAGTATAAAGTACCCCAAACCCTACTCCAACTATTGAGGCCCCTATAGCACACCCTTGGGGCCTTCCAGCCCAGGGCCTTGGCTCTACACCGAAGCACCGCAAGAACTCCCACAAGCTGAAACTTCTCGAAGCTGACGCAGAAGCCCCTCTGGGTAGTTCTCCAAATTCGGGCCCCTTTTAGGTCCCCAATAAAGTACGGCACCCTTATAAAAGGGACCCCCAAAAAGGGACCAATTTAGAGAACTACCCATATATGGGTAGTTCTCCAAATTAGGGTCCCTTTGAGGGTCCTTTTTATAAGGGTGCCGCACTATTCTGGGGACCTAAGAAAAGCCCCGAACTTAAAGAACTACCCATAAGTCCACATAGGTTGTTTGAAAGGGTAATTGGTCTACGATGGGCCCCTTGTCACGAAACCCTACACTCAACAAACTCTTGACCCAAAATCTCAACCTCTGAAGGCAAGCCCTAAACTCTAAACTCCAAGCCAGTACACCCTCAACTCCACACCCTGATCCTTCACAACTCCAAACTCAAAAACCGAAGACGAATGTAGGGGCCTTGATAGCCTCCTTATTCCAATATAAAATACCCCAAACCCTATTCTAATTACTAAGGCCCTATATTAAACCCACTCTCCTAGGGATCTTCTTTTGCAAGCACCCCTTTTACCAACATAAATACCACCCTAACAAAAACGGGTTTGGGGGGTTGTAAAACTGAAACGTCCGGTGTACAACGAGCGGTTCGAAGACATCGATCGAATAAGTCATGGCTAAAATCCCGACCTTCCAAGGTACCTCAACCTCAAACTTCACCCTGAAACCCCTAAACCCTAGGGTTTAGGGTTTAGGGTTTATTGTTTAGGGTTAAGGGTTTAGGGTCTAAAACCTGAAACCCCTAATTCCGTATAAACCCCTGAACCCCTAAACCCTGAACCCCACTAGGGACCACACTCACTCACTCCGACATTGGCGAAAATAGGGGCCTTAATAAGCGGAATAGGGTTTTGGGCCCCCACTATACTATAGTTATAGTAAGGAACGCCCAAAATAGTATAGGTAATTATTAAGGCGCCCGTATATCAAGCCACAACTTTACAAAAACAGAAATCTCACCTCGACCCCCAAACCAGCAATCTCATTACACGGGTCTGAGCTTTGTGTTAAGCCTTTGGGGCGTACAGAATGCGGGCCCGCAGAGAGTTTTTTGAGTTTTGTAACCCTAAACCCTAAGAGTTCTGTACCCCTAAACCCTAAACCCTAAACCCTAAACCCTAGAAAGTTTAGGGCCCAAGGGTCGAAGGGGTTGCTGTTTCAGGGTTTGTTTGGGTCAACGTTTGTTGGATTCACGATACAAAATCCTGAAAGCAAAACCCTGAACCCAAAACTCCTAAACCTTAAACACCCCAAACCCTAAACACAAAACGCGAAACCGCTATGCCCTAAACTCCCTAAGCAAAAAAACTCTACACAGTGAACCCAAACACGGCCCCGTGGCTCCGTCGCCGGCTTTAGCGGTTCGAGCTCGGGTTGCGCCGGAGCTTTTGGGTTCTTCACCTCCGGTTCAGGGTTTAGGGTTTCGGGCTTTATGGTTTTAGATTTAGGGATTTAGGGTTTAGGGCGTAAAGTTCAGGGTTTTGAGCTTTATTTGACAGCAAGGGGGTTTGGAGTCTTAGGAAGAGTGGTTGATCGAGTTTGTGTTTTCGGAGTTTCTCTGGGGTGTTTTCAAGTCTCGTTGGGGTGCTGAGGGGTTTTGGGTATTAGACTTTTAAAGTATAAGACATGAGAGTCTGTGAGAGTGTTGTAGAGTGTCGTAGGGGCTCATGGCTTTCGGTGAACTTCCATAGAGCTGTGGGTTTCGGTAGTATTATAGGGTTGCGGAGACTAGACGGCTTCGTTTAGATTAGGGTGTCAGATTCAGAGCCACCGGGTGGCGAATTGACAGCATCATCATCTCGGCCATTGCCATCATCACAACACCATAGCGATGACGTGCAGCTTTAGCATGCAGAAATAATAACAACGAGAAGAAGAATCATGATAACCATCATCATCCCAGAACTCTTATCCTCCCGAGCATCAATTAAAGGAAACTACAGGTGGGGAGTTTAGGGTATATAGGGGCTTCTTTAAGGCTTCCATAAGGTATATAGACCTTCTATAAGGCTCCTATAACGGTAACTACCCACCTGAAAATGTCCTAGACCAGACCAGCATCATCAACGCTAAACCCTAAACCCTAAACCGTAAACCCCTAAACCCTAAACCCTAAACCCTAAACCCTAAATCCTAAACCCTAAACCCTAAACCCTAAACCGGTCAAAATCATCATCGGAGTCAGCTCTTCAGTTCTGAGGGCAGACTAAGGCTCCTTTTAGGGTTTAGGGTTTAGGGTTTAGGGCTTTGGGTTTGGGGTTTAGGGTTTTCCAGCCTTCATCTTCTAAACCTGCCTCCCTAAACCCTAAACCCTCACTTAGGCCCCAAACCCTAAACCACCAACCCCACTTAGCCCTAGGCCCTAAACCCCTCACTTAGGCCTTAAACCCTAAACCCCCGGAAACCTAAACCCTAAAACCCCACTTAGGCCCTAAGCCCTAGACCCCCGGTCAAGGGAAACCTTGAAGCCAAGCTTAGTACCACCGCCACCATCACCCAGCCGCCTGATGGGGCTGTAGGAGGGGCATGTCGATATGGAGCACGCCTGGCTCAGTCGGGCGGCCGTTCCAGAGAATAGGGTTTAGCGTTTAGGGTTCAGGGGTTTGGGGTTGGGGGTCAGGGTCTCGGGGTTAGGGTTTAGGGGTTAGGGTTTAGGGCTAGGCTTTAAGAAGTTTAGGGGTTTGGGGGTTTCGGGCTTAGGGTTCAGGGTTTCTCTTCGAAGACCAACCCGGCAAGCCCGAAGACCTCAGCCCTAAACCTTGAACCACTCAAGAGGGATTGGAGTTGAGGAATGCTCTCGTTACTTTAGTTTAGGACCGACAAACACAACAGGATGCCGACCGGTTGGTGCACTTGGGGGGTTCAGGGTTGCCGGGTATGGGGCCTCTTTGGGCACTGAGTGAAACTGATGATGGCCATGTTTCCGTAGACATGTGCATTCTGGCAGCGCAGCTAGCACCATGGTTTGTCTGTCAGACGTTCGAAAAATCGCTGCCGGAGAGTGCCAACACAAACAACATCCAGGTCTGTGTTCAGACTAAACAGCTTCTGGAATGTAGAAGTTGTACAGATTCAACAGGATGTGAAGGCACCAGAACTAGAGCGTTCCGATCCTGATCCATGAATTGGGAAAAACAGATACCGCGTGCAATTTACGGGATTAGAACCACTACAGCATCACAACCACGATGGCGACGATACTACAATGGTGTTGCAGCTGAGGCATAGTTGGCGCAGGCTTGGTATGTATTTGATGTATTTGTGCAGAATGGTCCTCACCTCGCCACTGTATTTATTATGGGGCCTTATAATTAGAATAGGGCTTTGGGGCCCAATATATTTTATTTATAACAAGAAACCCCTAAAATAGTATTGGTAGTTATTCCAGGGAAGTCTTGACCTGCAGATGTATTTCTTGGGCTTAGGGCTTAGGTAGGGCTTAGAGTTTAGGGTTCAGGGTTAGGGGTTTAGGGTTTAGGGGTTTAGGGTTTTCGGGCCACCGCGGCGGGTTTCAGGCGCAGAAGGCAAGGTCCTATAATGTAGGGGCCTCAAGAATTAGAATAGGGTTTTGGGGTATACTCTACTATGATTATAGTAAGGAATCACCAAAATAGTATAGGCAATTATTTAGGCTTTTATATTAGAAGCCGGCGTGGAGCTGTAGCTGTCTCGTCCACAATCTCAGGGCGAAAGCCGCCTCGTACACGGCAATAGGACGGCATGGGCGGCTGGCAGCGCTGTCTGAGACTGCTGTCAAACTTAGGAGAAACCGCAGCATGCGCCGGCTTGCGTTAGCGAAGCGGAGGACGTCCGTGTCGAAGTAGACAAGCTTCTCTTGCAGCTTCTTGTTGATGTCCGGATTTCCGCGAAACCAATCATGCACCGCGTTTTGCGCTGCGCGGTAGAGAATCAGCGCAGCCCTATCCAAGAAAGGACGTTCAGCCTGCACAAGGTGCTTAGCAAGCCAAGTGTGGTAATCCATCAAGAATCTGCTGTTCTACGAAGCGTTGGTCGGAGGTTTCGGCGTCCTGCGTTTGCAGCACCATGCGTTGTGACAAGCCTCATTCTTCACATGACCAACACGCCGTGGGCCTGTGGCGGGTGCCAGGTCAAGAGCTCGACATCGTTGACCGTGAAGCCCACTAAATGAAAACCCTGGAATCCTTTAAGAAATTCTCTAGAAAGCCTCGAGAAACCTTGCATGATGCTGCTGCTGCCCCATCAGGATGCCTCTGAACGGAATCGGAGCAGTCTACATGTAGAAACCCACTCTACAGCCCCAAACCCACACGTATAGTATGTCATAAAGACCCTAAACCCCAAAACGCTATAAACCCCAAGCCCTAAAACCCTAAACCCTAAGCCCCAAAACCCTAAACCCTAAGCCCTAAAACCCTAAACCCTAAGCCCTAAAACCCTAAACCCAAAGCACTAAAACCCTAAACCCTAAGCCCTAAAACCCTAAACCCTAAGCCCTAAAACCCTAAACCCTAAGCCCTAAAACCCTAAACCGTAAGCCCTAAAACCCTAAACCCTAAGCCCTAAAACCCTAAACCCTAAACCTTTAAAACCCTAAACCCTAAGCCCTAAAACCTAAACCCTAAACCCTAAACCTTTGAAACCTAAACCCTAAACCCTAAACCCAAGATCGCCTGTTGTCCGCGAGCGCTGCACCTTCGAAGCGTCAGGTCTCACCTGCGACGCGGATGGCGTTTGTTTTCGATCTGGGTCTCATAGGTTTAGGGTTAAGGGTGTAAAGGTAAGGGTTTAGGGTTTAGGGTTTAGGGTTTAGGGTTTAGGGTTTAGGGTTTAGGGTTTTTCGCTTTAGCATCTGTAGAGATGTGTAGGGGATATGGTTCGTTTATACAAGAGCTTGAACTACGGGAGTTGTTCTTCTAAAGCGCTTGACGCCTTTTGAGATGTTGAAGGAATGATGTGGTTGTGGGCTTCAGGGCCATTTCAGGGGCTGTGGCTTCAGGGATAATGAGCTTGTGACACAGTAGTACGAAACGACAAGATCTATATACATACGTATATATATATATACATACTAGAATTATACGTGTACACAAATACACATGCATACACACGTACAGACTATAAATAAATGCTACCCCCCCCCTCAGTTATCCA